CCACAGCTCGGGGACTTCATCGCTCGCTCCTTGACTTATGCTCGGGGACTGCCTCGACCACTCTCTGACCACAGCTCGGGGACTTCGTTGCTCGATCCTTGACTTGTGCTCGAGGACTGCCTCGACCACTCTTCGACCACAGCTCGGGGACTTCGCGTCTCGATTACATGCGACTGGCGACTCGTATACAGTTGGGATATTTTTCTCCTTTAGACCTTGCTACAAGGTTCATACCTCTCCTTCTACCAAGCTCGGGGACTACATCGGTACGATGCACCTGATGGTGCATGCTGTATCTAATTAACAAGTCTTTTTTAGACCCTAGCACCACGCGCCTACGTCACCTACTACCAGGCTTGGGGACTAAGTGGGCACACTTCACCTTGCGGTGAATGTGCTTGTTTTATTTGATCCCTACGCTCTGACTGTTGGCCATAACTATTCCTGTACAGGGGTCACTTACATTTCTTTTCAGAAATACAAGTGGGCACACTTGATCAGGAAAGAAATCTTTTTCCTTTTTTCTTTAGAGCACCATGCATTCTTCGGACAACCGGAATCTTTGGCTGTAACCGTGGTCTACTGTTCTCTGTGCTGACCAGAATACTGGCATATTTGCTTGGTCAATGTTTCAACCAGTTGGAGATGACATGAAGATAGATCGCGTTAGCCGAAGGATATCAAACGGCGTGTCGCAACATAATACATGGTGCTCGGGGACTAGCTGTGGGGGTATTAACCCCTATACCCTTACGGCTAGGTTTGGGCCTTTCCGGACCAGGGGGTCTGGCCCACCAGAAGACGACGCGTGGCCCAGCCGATCTACTCGGAGTCCCACGCAAGGAATCAAGGCAGACTTGGAGATCAAGCAAGATCCTGGTCGGTTAGAATAGGAATCCTTATCCGGCCACCTATGGTAATTGTAACCGGTTAGGATTAGTTTCTAGATCTGTAACCCTGCCCCCCAGACTATATAAGGTGGGTAGGGGACCCCTCTCAAAACATCGCAATCTCATTGACATACAGCAATACAATCAGACGCTGGACGTAGGTATTATGCCCTCACGGCGGCCGAACCTGGATAAAACCTCGTGTCTGTCTTGCGTCACCATCTTGTTCGTAGCTTGCGCACCTGTCTATCGATAATCTACTACCTTGGGCATACCCCTAGGTAGACTGCCGACCATATTTCATCGACATCCCCCCTAACCCCCCCCCGCACCCCCACCCTACCACCAACCTCCCTCCCCCCACACACATAGCTTTTCTTTTCCTCGTTGCTATTGTTCATCATTGCCGCTCCTGCTCATCAGCACTGCTTAGCTCTTGCTCCGCGCCGGTGCACATTGTCGGATTGCCTGCATAGATCCACCAGTGAATGAGCAGCTGCTGTCAACGGCATTGCCACTCATGTTCACCGCTGCCAGATCCAAAGGTAAGTGTAATAAGGCCTTACTTGCATCGCCATCCCTTCTCCTCAAAACTCATCTCCTTACTAATGTTTATTGATACAATTCCATGGCAGGGCGGCCTCATCTCTTCTGCTAGTGGTGTCCTTCCAGATGAAGGATGCTCCCAATATGAGGAACATAGTGGATAGCCTCTCAGATGATGTGCTTGCCGACATCTTCTGCTACGTCCCCGCCCGGTCCTTGTGTTGCTGCAAGTGTGTCTGTCGCTCCTAGAATCGCGTCATCTCCGACTCCTATCACCGTAAGAAGCTTTCACAGACTATCATCGGCTTCTTCTATGGTAGCTGATGGAAGGGCAATCACACTTCACCAGCTTCACCGGTGAACGGCCCTCCTTGTCCTTCTTGCCTTTCCCCTTCAAAAAGTTCTAGTCTCAGATTGTTGTAGCAGCCTCGTCCTTTGATAGTGTGCTTGGCCTGATGGATTATGGCGCTATATTGTATGTAATCCAGCGACCCACAAATGGCATGTACTGTCGCGTAGCATCCGTTCTATTGGTTGGGCTCGCTTAGGTTTTGACCCAATGTCCTTGCACTTTCATGTGATTGAATTCGTTGAGGTGGAGGGTGCGTGCGTAGGTGTGGAGATCTATTCATCTAAAACTACAGCATGGATCTTTAAGGAATCTGAATGGGGCTAGGGTAGTATTGTTCTACGTTCAAAGTCAAGAAGTTTTTCTTAATGGTTTTATGCACATGGTTGAGTACTCTACAATAGTTGTTGTGGATTTGGAGGGAAAGACATGGAGGACAATTCGTAAACTAGGTGGTGCTAAAATGTCCATCCATTAAGCTCAGGGTCACATGTGTGTATGATGTGCTGATTTTCGCAATAGGCCTTGGCTTTTAATGTGGATACTTGAAGACTATGGTACTAATAACTGGAGTTTGAAGCTTGTTGCCGACAAGGAGGAACTGTTTGGACACATGGATATTAAAGTTGGTTCTGAGCTTTGTGATGAGAAGTATAGAGTGATTACAGTTCACCCAGAATGGAATTTTATTTTCCTTATTGGGAAGGATAGAACATTGATTGCATATGACATGGACCGCAGAAAGATTCATGTCCTCCACACCCGTGTCATCGCTTTTGTAGACCAAGAGAGCGTTTCCATATGAACAGGCCTTACTATCTTTCTTATGTTTCCTTTTTCATGGAGTCATTAGTAGAGCAGTAAAGGTGCATTTCCTGCATTTCATCGTCACGACAGTCTTTGTTTAGATAGGGAGTTGTTTTCATTCTATGTATGTATAGGCCAATTTTGGCTTGTTAACTAAAGGAATGGTATGCTCAATAATATTAATTCGGTTGCTTTGTTCAGGTTGTGGATCAGAGATGAATAAGAGGGGTTCTATAGTGCATTGGCTACCAATCCAAAGGATGAACTATTTATATTCATTTTGCCTTGCAAGCAGGAGTGCCACATAGAAGGAGCATAGCTACGTCGTTTCGTTATGTAAGTCTGTATACATCAGTACCTTTAGTATACTCTATGTACCGCTTGTGTTAGGACATCAGTTGAGAAAGATGTTATGGTAGCGTCCATTGTCATTGTAAAAAGTACTCTTGTTTGTAAACATGATTTATGGATGTAATGATTATATATCTGTATGCTTTGTATTCATGAAGCTATTAAGGGCCCAGCTGAATTAGTAACTATTGTGAAACCGGACAAAATTCTGTTACCGTCGGATGTAAGCGTTGTTCATTGTTTTGTTATCTCCACCGTCGCTATACGTATGATGTGGCAGGGATCAAAAGCATATCACCGCCGAATCCTTTAGTAACCTGACACCGACTAAACGATCATCAAAGGCGGATCGTGGTGCAAGACGACGATGACCATGACCTTTGTACTGGCGGATCATACGTTGAAGCGATGGTGGTGTTAACCTCTACACAAGGGTCTCGGCCGTCGAAGCGACAGTGAACCCGCACCGCTGACAGTCGGGTCGAAGTACAAGGCGACGATGCTCGGTGACCACTACACAGGCGGTTGATGTGCCTACACGACGATTTTGATAGCCTCGACACAGGTGGATCATTTGCCAATACGGTGGTGTTAGTGTACATCCACAGTCGTGTCGTGCTCCAATGCGACGGAAGTAATGCTTAATCATGAACGGATCATAAGTCAATACGGCGGTATTAGTGTACACCGCAGTCGGTCTGGTCCCAGATGTCGACGGTGAAGGCTATAACCATCACTGCCGACAGCTTACTACCAAGGCCGAAATTGGACTGCGATGGGGGTTACGACGTGGCTATGAAGGTCCGAGTGTAGTAGTGGAGGCATGTTGTCGGTGTATGTTTCGAGTGTTTCAGAGGTATGTTTCATCTGTGTTTTCCAGACTCATGTTGCAAGTGTGCTTATCTGGATGTTGCATATGTTTCACACATACGTTGCATGTGTTTTTATTTAGATGTTGCGTATGGTTGCAATGGTTTTCAAGTGTATTTCAGGTTTTTTTCAAGTGTTTCAGAAGCATGTTTCAAGTGCTTCAACTGCCTTTAGGCGTATGTTGCAACTGTTGTTTTTCGATGTTTCAAAAGTAGATCGAGTGTTGCATCTCTCCTCCCCACCTTCTGTTGCATCGTCTCTCCCGGAGCCGGCAGGGCATCCATACGACTTCACGGGCGGGTCTTTCCGATTCGGTGGCGCCGCGCGCCCTTCCCCACTTGTTGCTCGGGCGGCGCGGGCCCCGCGTGCAGCGCGAAACAGGCGCGGCGCTGCACGGTGCGGCAGGGTCGCCTGAGATGGCATGCTGGCGCTGTTTCTGTACACGGGTGCCGTTTTTGGAGGTGCGTCCGGACGTCTGGGCGCTAAGCATAACCGTTTCTAGATGGGATAGTGTCATGAAAGTAATATGTTAATCTCACCCATCATCTGGAATCTATCTCTGCTGAAGATCTTGAATTCTTGCTGCTGGTTGGGTCACTGCAGTTACAAACTAATCTTGTCACCCCGTGACACTCGCAGCTCCTTACTGAACTTTTACATCAGTCTGCTCAGCAGTATCATGAGAATGCATTCCTTGTCAGTACGCTGCCACTGCCTACCCGAATTCTAGGTCAGTAAAAAACAGCAGTAAAAGCTATGGGCGCTAATGAGCTACTTAGATCAGTTAGAGCGGCAAGAAGCAAACAAAATTGAGGAGATTAATATCAAACTTGAAAGCATTCACTGAACTCTATAAACTTGAGAAATGCAATGCTGAGCAAAACTGGAAATCTTTCATTGAATGAATCATCTCAGGTTCAGCAGTTTAAGATCATGAGATGCTTATTACTCTCTGTAAATAAACTGAAAAACAAAACAAAAAAAGACTAATAAAAAGAACTTTAGAAAATGTAGGTGAAATCTTGATGAACCCATGAAGACTAGCAATCATGGTTCATTTCACCCAAGCAAGATCACTTGTAACTTGAAGCTCCAAAGAATCAATTGAATCTGAATCTGTAGTTCTGTAGTCTGTACATACCACATCCATCCTTTCCCTGAAAATCGAAACTCGAACCAACCATACCTCAATCCTCAACTCCTGGAGCTGGCAGATTGAGATCAAGAAATCTATCGGAGACCAGAGGTTGCTCATCGTCACCAATGCCATCGTCTTCGACAGCATGTGCGCGCTCATAGAGCTCACCGGCGATTGAGTGTGACCGCTTGTGTCCACCGAGCGCCTGCCCCGAGCCAAACACCCTGAAACAGATGGGGCACTCGAATTTGATCGGCTTGTACGGTTTCGCCTTCATGGCCACCACCGCAGTGGGAGCGATGTCAGCGCCGTAGTTCGGGTCCGGCGACGCCGTGCTAAACGAGGAGGTGTTGGTCTCGACGCTTGGCTCCGGTTGGTGGTCGATGACGGCCTTGGTGATGCTGCAGTTACTGTTGATCCGCTTGTGGCTGGCGCGGTGGCCGCCGAGTGCTTGGTACGACTGGAACGCCCTCCCGCACCCAGGGCACTCGTACCGGCCCCGCTTCTCGTCGCCGACGAGGCTGCGATTAGGCTTCCTCTTGTTGATCTTGGTGCCGATGGAGGCGTCGTCGTTGGAGTCGGCGTCGTGGTGGTGGTACTGGTAGTCTCGCCTGGTGGTGCTGTCCTCTTCCGGCGAGTACTCAGCGCCCGTAGCCGTGGAGCACCGCCGCCGGTGGTCTATGATGTCGCGCGACAGCATGATGAGGCAGAGCGCGACGTCCTCCGGCTCCTTGTCGAAGGCAGGCGGCGGCGACGGCGCAGGGGCCGGCACGCGCATGGAGCGCCGCCTCCGCCTCGGCGGTGGCATCAGGCCGGAAGCCGGCTCCGTCGGGGTCATCAGCACAGCGTCCTCCTGCTCCCGATCCCGATCCCGATCCCGCTCCCGCTCCAGCTCCAGCTCCAGCTCCACGCCACCGCCTCGCGCACGGCGGCGCTCGTGGTCCACCTCCGACGACGCGCACGGCAAGAGCAGCGCACCGCGGCCACCGCCGTCGCAGTCGTTGAGGCTCGAGAGGCGCCGCGTCTTCTTTGGGTTCTCCCTCAGCCCGTAGCCCCTGGCGCCCGTAGCCGTCACGCAATCAAAGCCTCGCCGCTGCTGGTGCTCCTCGCCGCCGTCGTCGTCCAGTGCCGTCTCCACCTCGGCCAGGGAATGCGAGCGCATGTGGCCGCCCAGCGAGCGCCCGCAGGGGAAGCCCTTCCGGCACACCTTGCAGCTGTGCCGAGTGGCGCTGCTAGTAAGCACAGCCACATCCCCAATGGTATGCATGGTTGAGAATGGATCGATCAAGCTAAGGTAAAGAAAGCAGATTAATTTGATCTCATCGGCGGCGGATCAAGATCGATCAGCCAAGAAAGCTAGCTGCAAGTAGGCAAGGACGGAAGTGGGTGGGAGGAGAGAAGAGGTCAAGTGAAGAAGAAGAGATCGGAGGCGGCCGGGATCCATGCAATGCAGCCCCCGCGCGCGAATGATCGATGAGCTAGAGCTTGCGAGAGGAAGCTGCTGGGTGTGTGACGGACGAGCAGTTAAAGTAGCAGTAGATGGGAGGAGGGGGGGAAGGCAGCTGAAGGGAGGAGGAGGTCATGCTGCATTGGTTGGGCAGGAGAATTCTCAGCTGGGCATGCAACCAAGCAAGCAAAATTAGCAAACGAACTGGAGAGAGAAAACGAATCACCTCATGTGCTGGTTTTTTTAAGCCTCTCATCTTGGTACAGTCGTAGTATCTTGTTGATGCACGAAAGCAGGTTATCGCTACCCACACACACCACACTTACATCACGCATGCATAACTAGACATACAGCTACACACAGATCAGAATACTGCGTCTCCATCGTGGCTCCGTAGGTGACAGGCATGTCGCTATCCTCTGTGGCTCACGCGAAAGAGACTATGGATGAAGACGAGGAAAAATCCCGGAGGTGAGGCCCCTGACAAACGAACCCACCTCCTCTATGTAGCTGGCAATGCAATGCAAGCTAACGGATGAGAACGACAGGACGGACAGAGTGCTGTGTCTGGCCTGGGACGCCAACTGGGCTTCTTTGCCAACCGTCGGGACAATTTCCCAATGAGCCCAGTCAGACATCATGGCCACCATCGTGTCCATGAAATTAATTCATAGCCGATTTCATGCAGGTCTCACAATTTGAAGCTCAAAACATCTCCCACCCAGCGCAGCTTGAAGACCCAAACATCTTACAGAACTTATACCATCTTTTTTTCTTTTCACATCATATCGTCACACTATAAAAAAGCGTGTTTTTAGATAGAAACTCCCCTCTACAATACCCATTTGATCTAGACTTCATCTAAGCCTTCCATAGATGTAAGATATCTAAGATTTTGACACTCGAGAAGTTATGATTTTACCTTTTGTTTGTTTAAGTCACGTTATTTTACATCTGCCGATTTACATACAATCTTGCATCATCATTAATAAAATTCTAACCCCTCAAGTTGTCCATACGTGTACAATCTTATATTATTCAAGTCATATTTCGTCATGTTTACATCGCTGCATGGTCATGGATTCTTTTAAGATAATATATATATATATATATGAAATCACCGTGTAGGGCATCGCCTGGTCCGCAGTCCCACTTTAAATTTTTTTGCACCTAGAATAAGTGACATAAGTTCCACTAGCTTAGTGCCACTTTGAAATGTCCTAATGGCTAGAGGGTGGTGAATAGCCTATTAAAAATTTTTACAACAATATTTAAGCCAAGTGGTTAGACAATTAAATGGTGAAACAAGTGTTGCGCTAGCCTACTAAAATACAAGCCTCATATCCACAATTCTAGTTGCTATGATCTCTAATTCACACAAGAGACTAAGTCACTACTCTCTAAGTTAATGAGCTCTCAAAGACTAACTAAAGAGCCTCACTAACCACTAGACAAAGACACAAGCTAGCTCTCAAAACTAATTATACTAAAGAGTTTATATATATTAGGAATGTAAATGCAAGAGAGATAGTGAAGTTATGTCGCCGTGGCAAGAGATGATCAATCAATCACAATGAATACCAATGAAATCCTCAGAGACAAGATAACACAATGATTTTTCACCGAGGTTCACTTGCTTGCCGGCAAGCTAGTCCCCATTGTGGTGATTCACTCACTTGGAGGTTCACGCGCTAATAGACATCACACGCCTAACCTACAATCGGGTGCCGCACAACCAACACAAGATAAGAATCCACAAGCCACGAGCAATCCACTAGAGTACATTTTAGCTCTCCGTCGGGGATAGGTCAAGAACCCTTCACAATCACCACGATCGGAGCCGGAGACGAGCACCACCCTCCGCTCAACGATCCTCGCTGCACCAAGCTGTCTAGGTGGCGACAAACACCAAGAGTAACAAGCGAATTCCGCAACGAAACGCAATCACCAAGTGTCTCTAGATACAATCACTTAAAGCAATGCACTTGGATGCTCTCAAATCTCATAAGATGATGATCCAATCAAGCAAGGTGAGTTAGAGAGTGTTGGGTATTCTCACTAGGATGTATATGCACTATAAATGGCCAAGAGGTGAACAAGAGCCGCTTGTCACCATGAGGCTGCGTTTAGGAAAAGAGTGATGACGATTTAGGAGCGTGTTTAACTAAGTGTTCACCTTAAATTATGCCATGGGGCTTAAATAGGAGCCCCCACGAAATAGAGTCGTTGGGCTCAACAGGCGACTCACCTTGCTCTTTTACTTCCGCATTTACATTGATCATATTATTACCGAGCGCACATCTAGATAGATTATCTTTTGCATAGGTTTTGCGTAGTTGGGTTGACCGGACGCCTTCAATTGGTATCAAACGCTAATGTCCGATCGCGCAATCGCTGCCACGTGTTCCCTCCTTCCAACGAGAGCCGCTAATCTCCAATTTGGTCGTGAGTCCAAACTCCTCGTAAAACCCAAAAGCAAAAAAGAAATGCTTTTAAGAGAGACCAATTGACGCATGGATGTGTTTAACGACCTTAAATACGACATGACGGTTAAAACTTCAAGAGCTCCATGACGCGCCAGAGCCATGTCCGATCATGTGCACGCCCGAGCGCCAAGTCAATGACCGGACGCAACGCTGCCACCACAAAAGAAATATGCAAGCATCATCACCATCCTTCACAACATGGAGAACTTGACACCACCGCATCATTTGAACCGGTAAGGGTCCAGAGACGATTTTTGTCGATCGAAAAGATGAAGGGCGTTGAGTCAAGCTCAAGCTCAAGCGAAGAAGAAGAAGATGAGGATCGAGATGAACAAGAATCATCGATGATCAATCTTCCTCTTGATGAAGCCAAACAAGGTGGAGAAGATGATCCGCTCTTCGTTAGCCTCATTTTCACAACGCACCGCTTGGGGCGTCGACGACGTCAAAAAGACAAAGGGACCGGGATGATTCTTCAAGTGAAGAAGGACGCACATCACAAAAGGCGAGGTCATAAGCACTCAAAGGCCTCTCGCGATTCCTTCCTCTTATCAAGCGTCCGGTCGAAGGACTGAGGCCACGCCACACTATGCGCCACTTTAGAGGTAGTTCTTACGGACGCTTTGAAAACTTTGCAAATCTCAATGTTGAACTAGTATGGTCAACGCCAAAGAAAAGTTAGTAGCGTCCCGTCAGGTCACCAATCTAATCGAGGCAACATCTCCAAATCTCAAACTTCGCCACCCTTGATCAAATGTGCTAACCACCAAGTGTATCACCTTGTGCACGTGTGTTAGCATATTTTCACAAATATTTTCAAGGGTGTTAGCACTCACTAGAATCTAAATGCATATGCAATGAGTTAGAACATGTAGTGGCACTTTGATAACCGCATTTCACGACGAGTTTCACCCCTCTTAATAGTACGGCTATCTATCCTAAATATGATCACACCCACTAGGTGTCTTGATCACCAAAAACAAAAGCTCCTATCAATTATACCTTTGCCTTGAGCTTTTTGTTTTTCTCTTTCTTCTTTTTCAAGCCCGAGCACTTGATCATCACCATGGCCATCACCACCATCATGATCTTCTTCATTTGCTCAACCACTTGGAATGTGCTACCCTATCTCATCATCACTTAGAGCAATGGGTTAGCACTTAGGGTTTCATCAATTCACCAAAATCAAACTAGAGCTTTCACACTTCTTCATATAGTTTTGTAAATTCTTTAATATTTTGTAGATCTAATAAATAATTCATTATCCTATTTTTGTATTTAAATTTTTTTGATGATATATATGAATTGACATATCAAGAATTCAATTAATTTTCCCATTGCATTTGAAATAATTTTCGTAAACACGTGTGTGTTGCATGAGCATATTTGCTAGTCTAGATAAAGAACCATGCATGACAAAACTTGCAAGATGTGCTTCCTGTTGCGATAAAAGGGTAGCAATTTTCACAATGCACGATTAATCTCTCATCATATGATGAACAATGAGAACATCTACTATCAGAACAACATCAAAAATTTAACAAACCACATGCACAATTGACATAATGATTTACGTGGAAAACCTCCACAAAGTGAGGAGTAAAAATCATGGGACCAACTGGCCCACTCCAAGTTTTCATGGGTACAATGTGCCTTCTCTAAAGCATCTAGAGGATTACAACAACAACAAAACATTCGTCAAGTTGCAAACTTGGCATCTACTACAACCATAACCTTCTAACAAGAGAAGTGACAATACCAAACAGAGAAAGCCACATATTTTGTCCCCTTTGGTAATCAGTTTATATACTAAACAGAGAAGTCATAACTCGGTAATCAGTTCATATGTCACCACAAAATATAGCTCCATTGTGCACGGCTTTTGGTAGACATTTAAACCCACGAGTCCCCTAACCACTTACCAAGTTTCAGCTCAATCGGACACCGTTTCACCACCCAAATCAATCATTTACCAAAACTGCTTTGTCCTAAATTACTGTAACTAGAACTAATAAAACCCCTATCAAATATGATGCTCTACTCAACCAATCCTCAAATCAATTGAATAGATTGAAGTACTCTAAGTGTAGAATGAGGTCACCAAGTTTGATGCCTATCCAAACACGTTTGAACCTCTAATCACAAGCTTGAAGATGAATGGTTCATAGCCACCAAATCTGAACAGATTTGCTCCTCATTTTTCTTCCTCTCTTCTCTCTCATGTTGTGTATGTGTTCTGCTCTCTCACACTCTCCAAGTGCAGCGGAAAGTGAAAAGGAGGCTAGGTTTTTTGTGCGTTTCTCACCACTTCTCAAGAAACGATCTCAACCATTGATTCCAATCGAAATCAATGGTGCATAAGCACTAGGGTTATGAGCCGTCTTGGCGGGGCTCCAAATCATCCTCCATGCGGAGGGATAGCCCAACACTTCTTGTCCTCACACTATTGCAACTAGGCCTAGCACCATAACTAGTGTGCCCATCCCCCTAAATGTGACCCACAAAAAAAGTTTTGGGTCAGCATTTGTTATTAGAAATCCACTTCATTTCGCGCAAGTCATATAGTCTAGCAAATGATCGCATCACCTGTAATTATCAACCACACAAAGACCTGTTTGAACTACCCCTTCTCATACCAACCATTAAAAAGATCATAGACATCAATTGAAGTTCTTAAACCTAATACAATATAAATTGCTTTCAATTTACCCAAATCAAAGAAGAGGTGCTTAATGGGTTTCACTTTATAACACAAGAAGCTTGAACAACCCCATTTTTTAAAAAAATGGTGTTTCAAAGTGTCTATATATGGATTTAACTGTGAATGGACCATTATTTTTTAATATCCAAATGAAATTACCCTGCCCATCATGTATGTGACATCCCATATTTTCTAGAATTTTTATAATGACAAAAATCCCAAACTTTTAAAAGCTTTTGTGTAATTGTGTGTTGCATGTAATAATTAGGTCAAACCTACACCAAACCCTTATCCTTCTTACCCCACCTTCAAAAATCCTTAACTCTTTCTCTTAACCCTTCAAAATAACTAATCCAATTTTATGCAATTGTATAGTTTTTTTCTCTATCATCTGCAACACACAGACATATTTACTAGTAGTAATATAAAAATATCATTTTTTGCTTAGTAAACGAACGAGCCAATGCGAAAACCGATAAAAACCATATACTAAGCGAGCGAGGGCTAAAATATTGACAGTACGAATATGTTTGGGATTGTGATTACATGCTGAGTGATTGTGGGATTAGCGCGAGTGGGTGGTGAACTGGTGATGTGATGCCCGCAGTGAATCCGGAGCTCCAGCCCTACTGGCTACCTCTTCCGTTCCAGGACAAAACGCGGTCTTGGCTCGGCAACCGAGACGAGGAGCCTTTGCCTACCTTTGCTCCCTCGCTTTCCATCCTGTTGCGCGGCCGCGGCGCAGGTGCGGTTGGCCATCACAGGCCAGCCCGCAGACGGACCCTCCTCCTCTGGCCCTGCCTCCGCCTCTTCTTCCTCTTCCCTTTGACCCACCACCGCCCCCCAGCCCCCTCTTGGGCTCTTCCCTTCCCCCACTGTCGCCGCTCCTCGTCTTCGCCGCCCTCCTCCACTTTGCTTCTTGTTCTTCTTCTTCTCCCTTGTTGATGCTCGTGGTCTCCTATGATCCGCCCTCCGCCGCGGGTTTCTTGATCCGTTCCCGGCCCAAGGAAGCGTACCCCGGCCAACGCTCCTGACAGATTCGCCCGGCCACCGCCCCCTCGATTCCGTCCTCCCCGTCCGCGGTAAGAAACCAATCGGTTCCTCATTCCTCGTGGCGTGCCGCTTCTTTCCTTCTGTATTTGTAAGTATTTATACAGCGTTGATTGACGCCTTGACGGTAGGAAAGCCCTATTCTTGGCAGGCAGGTGTTTAGGCCCTCTGCAGCAGCATAGCATCTGGTCCGTCCCTGGAGATGTCCGGCGTCCAGGAGCAGTTCGAGATCAAGTTCCGGCTGCCGGACGGCACCGACATCGGGCCCAGGCGCTTCCCGCCGGCGTCCACCGTCGCCACGCTCAAGGAGACCATTATCGCCCAGTGGCCCAAAGGTGAGTCCCCGCACGCACGCGCTTTCCTTCCCGCTGTCGCGGTTGCAGCGCAGCGGTAGGCGCGAGAGAAAAAGAAGGTTGGTTCTTAGCACCGGCCAGTGGCGCTGGAGCTGTGCGATTGGTATTGGCGCGGCCGTCGCTTTCTTGGGTCGGATTCTGCCCCTGGAACGCCCACCATCTAGTTTGGAATCTTGAGGTGTACTGCACCGTGGCGTCGCCGTCATGGCCAATCCGTCAGTTTCAAGGATAAATAATTGAGCCTTGTGCCTCCACGAAACCAAAAGTAATCTGTTGAGCTTCCTGCCAATCATATTTGGCCGGGGCTATTACTGCTGGAACTTATGGTGCTTAGGTTCAATTAATTTACTGGGCTTGCTCATATCCAAATAATAAATCTTCTGTACCTTTTCTGCTATATGTGTGGTAAGGTGGAGTGGTCGATCCAAATTAACTTTTGAGAGACAGCAATAGGAATTTAACAAAAATGGAGAACGTTAGTGCTGCAGAGCAGCTAGGGAAGTAGAGGAGACCTTACAGTTTAAGTAAACAGCAGTTCTATCTTTCCTTGGAGCAGCTGAGGAAGTACACATCCTTTAAGTGAGAGTCGTGTTATGGTTGCCTGTAATGCTCTTCTGTGTCACTCTAGCGCCTACAGTTTGTACATGAGATCTGTCGTACTGAATATGCTTAAAACAAAATAAGTTTGTAATAACCTGATACGGATTGAACTTCATGTGCGGTAAACTGCTTGCAGTGAAGGAAAAGGGCATATAAATGTCATGGACTTTACTACCTTTGTAGCGCATATGCACCATTCTTTCTTATGAAATATCACATTCGAATGAGGGTGCTTGTAACCTCAGCATTGAACACAGAACAAGACCACATTAGAAGGATAGTGTTAGGCCAATTTGTTTGATGGCAACTTCTGTCCAAGTGCTCTTGTTTTGTTTTGAAGAAATAAACAGCCAGTGGCCCTTCAGGGCCAGGGCCAGGTTTGTGGTTGCCTGATTCGGCAATTAGAACTTTTCTGGATCAGTAATGAGAGGTGCTTCTGTCTCCACGGGCACAAATCTTCTGATGATTTGACAAGAGGTGCTTCAGTCTACCCGGGCACAAATTTTCTGATGATTTGAGATCAAGCTGATTAAGGAGTAAGGACCAACTGCTACACCAGTGTTAGAAGGATAATCATGATAAGAAAGAGTAGTCAGAAGTGCTAGAGATCTCATGCTCATACCGCTGAGTATTGCAGTAATGCTCCACTTATATACATCCTACACCAACTTAAGAACTGTATATATGTAAATCACTCCCTGCAAATGCTTGGCTTCTGTTTCCACTAGAAGGCCAGGATGCATTAGTGACAAAGTTACTTTTGTGTTCCCTATTAGCAGAGTGAAAAAAAAAGCTGAAGCGCTTAGACTACTTATTATGTGTGGTCCGACTTATGTACTTCCACTTGCAGTATCTAAAGCAGCAAATGCAGCAACAAGAGCAAGTTCTGCTATTTGATTCTAGAGTTAACAAATATGTTCTTCATAACTATTCAACTGAAATGTCTGGTATGGCTTGTTACAAGATCATAAATATATGAAGTCAACTAGATAAAATTTGTAGTGCATAATGCAAATATGCTTAAATTGAGCATGATGTGCTTGTCTTAATCACATAATGTTCAACAGCTGAGTATACATCATAATTTCAGATGTAACGGGTTTGATTAATGTCACATGATCTGTTCTATGTAAGCGATAAGCCTGTTTTGTAGGCCATTTTTTAACAGGTGATATCTGATTGATGCTGCTAGAACTGGTGGTAAACTAGCTTATTCTGTAGTGAAATTTGACTAGAATGCTTTGATGCCAATACTCAGAGGAAACTATCATGACTTAGTTCTTTTTCTCAGGAAATTGAGAAGAAGTGGTTAGTCTTGAATTTAAATCTTGATTCTTCTCATTATTAGTGTTGAATATTGTGCCTGCTTGCTGTAGCAATTTGCAATTGTAAAACTGGCCTATTGTCAGTTTGTGTTCAGCTTAAACATATCCATTTGTTCAATAAACTCGGTTGTTAGTTCATCATTATTGACGATTTGACGTACATATCCTTGGAGGTCTCCACTTCTTGCCTGCTAACTAGATATTAGATACATGTTTCTGCTTTTGAAATGTCTGACATAACCTCTCTCCATTTAAATGAATTATCCACAGCTGTTTCCTTATCCCATAGAGGGTAGGGGTAATGGAATGTGGCATCTTGTTACATGGTGAGGAAGAGTGAAGTGGCAAAAGTAGAACTTGTGAGGTTTCATGGTTCTAGTTGAATAATGGCATATAACAAAGGGATCACGCTACCAATCTGGTAAAACTCACGAGTCAGCGGTGAATCTCGGGGACAATTTCCCAGTTTCATCCTATCCTTCTTATATTGCATCATTTTTTATCCTTTTGTCTTGCTGGATTTCTTCATTTCCTTTAACCGTTTCAACTTGAATATACTAAATATAGTGCTGTGTTTCTGTACACCACCAAACTGCATCTCAGTTTCCTTCAGTATTTCTTTTTATCTTATTATTCTAAGATAAGCTTGTTTTAGTGTTCTTACTGTTCCTAGTTAGTGTCCTTACTGTTCCTTCTCAACAGATAAGGAGAAAGGTCCTAGGACTGTGAATGATCTCAAGCTTATTAATGCTGGGAAGATACTGGAGAACAACAAAACCCTATCAGAATGCAAAAGCCCGATTTGCGACTTCTCTGGGATGACAACGATGCATGTCATCGTCCGTGCACCGACTTCAAGCAAACAGTCTGGTAATTGTTTTACCTTTGCAAGGAATATAGCATCTTCCTGTCACATCCTTGAATATAATTTGTATTTGATCTGCTGATAACAGATAAAAGAGCAGAAAAGAAAGCGAAAGATTTCAGGTGTGGTTGTGCCATTATGTGACAGCATTGTGAATAGTAGCAAAGAGAATGTGGCTATGCCAGTTTCCTCCCCACTTTTTCTGCTCTTGCCAGAGTGTTGTATTATGTTCGAGGCACTTTCTCCTTTTACTTCGTTTTGAAGTATCACGGGCAAGCTTCAGGAGCTGTTAAGTGCCCTTTAATCATGAGTTTGCATCAAGCACAAAATTTGAAGGCAGCTGGCTGCTAATTGCCCTTAATCTTGAGCTATGCCAAGCACACACTTTGAAGGCAGTCATTAGTGTCGAAACTACAATGCCCGTCTTATCCAATCTTCCATGGTTTCACGTTCTCTTCTATATTTATGCTACTCTGGGTGACGTGTTTAATATATGCCTTCCATGTTAGATGAACTTTTCGGAATGGCATTCTAACTGATCAATTTCTATTATGTACCACTAAAACCAATTGTAATCTGGTAACTGATCTGCCATGTATTAGTTTGCTGGCTATATGGTTTTGAGTCACAATGACATGTTTTGTAACTGTTGTTCATACATGAAATTAGCAGTACCTTCATTGCCTGTTGATCTCAGTTTGCATCATTTACCATGAGGTTGTATTGACCCAAGTTGCATCAAAATGTATCAGGTGACCAATAAAAGAATGGAACAAGTCTCTCACGCTTGCCTCTGATTTTGACACTCCTCAAGTGCTGCCTAAGTCTGACGTCTCAACTATCAATGCTGTTTTGTTTTTGACCTTGGGCTCAAATTTTGTGGTTTTGGACTGACATGGCAGTGTTTTTCTTTCTATGTTGGGTTTTTCATTTGCCAACTAGGCCATGAATGGCAGCTGGGCCTAGGCTAACGCATCTAGGCCCCTTTGTGGAGATCATAGGGGTTATTGTGTAGCTTACATGTGTTTTGGAGAGAATAATGCAATTGAGATAGTCACATTGAGAATGGTCACACAGAGGACAGGCGTGGTGTAAGCGATAGAGTCTTACTGCCTGTGACCGGAAGGTCCCGGGTTCGAGTCGCAGTCTCCTCGCATTGTACAGTGAGGGTAAGGTTTGCCACTGACATCCTTTCCCAAACCCCGCACAGAGCGGAAGCTCTCTGCACTGGGTATGCCCTTTACATTGAGAATGGTCACAAGTGACTTGGCCTTAAGATTTGATGATTGATTATTGGGTAAAGGACGATAAGACAAAATACACTTTAAGAGCGAATGTAAGCTGTGGACTGTGGTCAGTGGGACATTCGTTAAGTAGTGTGTAACAAGTCTTTGTTTTTCTTTAGCCTTGCTGTTGGGAGTGGGGGGTTGGGGGTTGGTTTACAAGACGATTAATTTGAGAGAGTCAAAGTGAGCATTGCGCTTATGACACGGCTAACTCTCGGTCAAGTTGAAGGTAGAAAGTGGCCTCGTTAGTTAGTTTCAAAGATCTCGAAGGTGTTAACTTGAGAGAGTCAAAGCGAGAGCATTGTGTTCCATGATCTAACTCTTGATAAAGTTGAAGGTAGAAAGTGGCCTCATTGAGTTGGTTTCAAGGATCTCAAAGCAATTGGACTCTTCGAGATCGAACTTGAAATAGGCTAAAAAGCAGCATTGATTCCATGCGGATCGTCTAGTAATGCTACTGACTTGTCTAATAGAGCAGTGGGCGCTGTATGATCAGACGGAGGACTTCATGACCTCGACGAATCATATCTAGTGAAAGCCAATCTAGACTTAGTGATTGATGAGTACATAACCGACCAGGGAGCATGAGCGTAACTACTACTAAGTCTCCGCATGACTGCCCTCACTCAGAGGGCGAGTCAGGGGGTTGTACCTGACGAAATGGGCATGTGACCAATTAGGAGGCGTCCTGATTGTCCGCCTACCCCCTCCAATTAACAACCAAATATATTTGGGGCCAAGTGTCGTACCAACCCCTGACCTCGAGGTAGGACGCTTGTCGACCTTGTGTATGCCTGTACCACTTGGAGCCTCACAAAGGGCCCACCCGAGTGGTAGTATAATCGGACGGGCATGTATTCTTTCACTGCAAGTCAAAGAGATGGCAGTCGAACAGTACCCACGATAGGAAAGCCATGCCGTCAGGTACCAAAGGCGTGGCACGTAATGCAAGGTGCATCATGTCTTGCCCTGTGGAAACCTTGTGCGAAATAGGGAGACGAGATAGGCCTTGCATGCCATTGTGGCGGTCTTGTTCCACAAACTATGACATAGGCATGATCAGTCGCAATTGTTGCTTCCTCGATCTCCATGACCACGACGGGATGGCAACAATGACCGAGATGAGACGCGATGACGACAACCTGAAAGCGACTGAGATGAGACAAGATGAGGCAACCCAAGGGAGTCCTTGATCGACATGTAGGACCCCAAGTCTCCTGTTGTAACCTTGCCCTCTTGGCTATATAAGGGGTGGCAGGAGCTCCCTTTATTTTTCAAAGCCTTTGCAACCCTCACGATCTTTAGTAGTCCTTGGACACTTCGCACCACCCTCGAAACCCTCAAATTCTCTCATTCGTTTGTAGCCCGTACTGCAAACTAGAGCTCAGGAAGACGATACACACCTAACAAGATGTAGGCCCACCGACAATGACTAGTTGACAAGCTCACTGTGGTGCATCGTATGATAGACAAGGGATTCTGTGACTTTGGCGGATCATCCGATGAGAATCCAACTTGACTTAGTGACTTGTTATTAGTAAGGTATTGGAGTAATGTCGGAGATGCTCTTAGCCCAGAGTGCTATTGGTGTTCTTACTTCGGTTTTCTTGAGGAGAAGCTTCAAAACTTTATACTCTTGATGTTTGCCAACATTTAGACGACCTAGTGAAGAACTTGGTGGGCTTCCTATGTGAAACTATTGTGAGGAGGCTTTAAAAAGTTTGTACTTGGTATTGAAACCCACCTTGCTTGAGTGGCGGGTTTTCACTAGTAGAGCGGAGTGTAACAAAGTTCTTTGACCAAGGTGCTCTAATCTGGATTAGAGGTTTGTGTAAACAACTTGAGACCACTAGAAAAAATCTTGTTGTCTCTTTGTCTTACTCTTTCTTACTTGCTTTACTTTCATTGTTTACAAGTCTCTTGTGTGACAAATGGGATGGTAGATTGTACTTAGTACCGGGTGGTGGCCATAAGGCGCATGACGTAGCGTGAGCCGTGAGGCTTTTTTGTGGCCAGGGGGCTTGGGTGGGCACGGAAGGGGTGGGCGTTAGGTGGCACGGTGGACGTGTTGGGCGGGTGGGGTGGAGAGGCATGCAATGTCTAGGAAGGAACTCGAGCGGACGATGATGCTTGGGAAGGCCCAATGTGGGCGACTTAGTTGGCATGCCGACAAGGTGGGTAGCATTGACGAATGGGGGAATCGGGAGGAGGAAGATACATTAATGTGTGGCAGTCCAATGGAGCCTATAATTCTCAATTATTTTTATCATCCCACCAAACAAAAAACGAGAATGAATTCATTCATCTCAACCAAATGCAGAATGAAACTAGAGACGAAATCATCCTTTCCTAGCATGTCCCCAAATCAAACACTTGTTTGTTGAATAAGATTAAAGCTTGCATTGTAACTGGCCTTTTATACACCGGATAAAATTACAATGCAATCGTAAGTGAATGCATAAAATTTGAAGATAACTAGGGTATGTATGTAAACCAAAACCACCGTTCACAAAAGTCAATAGTCTGCTACGATGTCCGGCACCGCGTACTACTACAAGTATATAGCGTGCAATGCATGTGCTGCTTTTTTGTTTGTGGCTAGAAAACGGAGAAATAAAGACTTGCAAAAGGGAACACAAAACAAGGTGGAGCCGGCGCGACTGGACCAACTCACCCACCCGAGCGCATCGGCGCAGATCCCGGCCGCCCAGCGCGAGATCCGACGGCGCCGCGCTCGCAGAGCACACGCGCCCCACCCCTTCCCTTCGGGACCTTCCTTTCCATTCCCTATCGTATTCCTCCACGGAGTGCTCGTTGGCCCCTGAACCTCCCAGAACCTCCTCCTCCTTGTTTCCACTCTCCACTCTCCACGCCGCCACCGATTTATAAACGCTTTGCCCCGCCCCGCCCTGCCCCGCCGCGCCCTTCTGTTCCATACCATTACCATTCTTCTGATAAACCATCCAATCCAGAGTTCCATTCCAGTCTGAATTGCTCCTCCTAGATTCTGATAAACCATCGTGACTGTGCCGCCGCCGCCACCGCAGCGCCCCACCATGGCCGCCGCACCGCCGCTATCCGCCGACGTACTCTCCTTCCTTCCCTCCGCCACCGCCCCCGCCGCGGCCGCGGCCGCGCCGACGCCGGTCGTAGCCGCGGCGTGGGGCGCGGCGAGGGCGGGTGCTGTGAGGGGTAAGGCGGCGCTAAGGACGACGAGAGGAGGGAGGGGCGGGGTGCTGGCTCCGGTGGTCGGGGGGAGACCCCGCCGGACGCCGCTTTCCGTGCGCTGCAACGCCACCAGCCGGGACGGCAGGGTAAGGACCCGTTTTCATTGCCTTCCTTTTCAGTCCGGTTTTGCGCACTTCTTTTTCTTTCTTTTCATTTTATAAAAAACAGAAAATACTGGCTTGTTCGGTTTTCAATTTCTATGTCACAGTCGTTGTATTATGTAATACATCAATCGATGCATTTATTTATGTCTCATTTTTCATTAAAGAAAAGTAATTTTCATAGCATTTATACTACTTATTATACTCGTTTCAATAGGCAGGAGATTGTATAGTTTTCATATATATGTCTAATTCGTCGTCATCTATTGTGCTGCCAGATTACACAACAAGAGTTCACTGAGATGGCGTGGCAATCAATTGTCTCATCCCCTGAGGTGGCAAAGGAGAGTAAACACCAGATTGTGGAGACCGAACATCTCATGAAATCCCTGCTGGAGCAACGGAATGGCCTTGCCCGCCGCATCTTTTCTAAGGCGGGAGTTGATAATACAAGGCTTCTCGATGCCACGGAGAAGTTCATCCAGAGGCAGCCTAAGGTGCTTCATCCTCAACACACTTTGATTCTGTTGATACCCAGATGCAGTTTGCCTTCCCGAGTGCATCTTACTATGAACTAGGACTAATATGTCAGAAGACTGAAAATGCATTTTTTTCCCACTGCAATAAACTCAACATTCTTCAATATCTTTCTATATGTTGCTTTTCAATGAAACAAAAAATATATCTTCCAGTCTTTGTTTTCTTATCTTCTGTTCAATGATTCAGGTATTAGGTGAAGAACCTGGATCCATGTTGGGGCGTGACTTGGAAGCTCTCATACAAAGAGCAAGGGACTTTAAGAAAGAGTACGGCGATTCATATGTCTCAGTTGAACATCTAGTCCTTGGCTTTGCCGAAGATAAGCGGTTTGGGAAACAGCTGTTCAAGGATTTTCAGGTTACTGTGAAGACCTTGAAATCAGCCATTGAATCTATCAGAGGGAAGCAAAATGTAATTGATCAAGGTACGAGCTATCTTTTCTTTTTTCCCCTAGTTTTGGAAAGATTGCAATACTGACATTAAGATGCTTGCAACTTTTATCCTTTTCCTCTGTCTGTGCGCCCCAATATAATTGCATGATGTAACCTATTTTCCCGTAAATTGCACAAAGAAAATTTTCATGCATAATACGTAGATATGAAAAATTTCACCTTGAACTCCTGTTTCCCTCTGATACAGTAGTAGATATCTTCACATGAAAAACTAAAATTATGTATTTTCAATAGATCCTGAGGGCAAGTACGAAGCTTTGGAGAAGTATGGAAAGGATCTGACAGCTATGGCACGTCGAGGGAAGCTTGATCCAGTTATTGGAAGAGATGATGAGATTCGAAGATGTATACAGATTTTATCACGAAGAACAAAGAACAATCCAGTTCTGATTGGTGAACCTGGTGTAGGAAAAACGGCTATAGCTGAAGGGTTGGTAAACAGTGCTTTTTGCACAACATATCACTGATTATCGAAATAGGTCCTTGAACTTGATTTTGTTTCTTGTTTAGGCTAGCTCAGAGGATTGTTCAAGGAGATGTCCCACAAGCTCTGACAAACCGTCGAGTAAGTTATTCATTCATGTATTATGTATTTATGTTTTTCAGGGTCTAGCGGATTTAGGATTCTTTGCTAAATTATTGAAGAATTTGTTCCACATGTATCATATATCATGGTATTTGTCATAGTTCTAGAGTACATGCCATGTTGGCCCTCAATAGACGCTTATATAAGTTAAAATCTTCAGTTGTCCTTGAGCAATTTTTTTATGTTGCAACTTATATTAATGTTAAAGTAGTTCATCTGAACATAGATTTTGAAAATTAGTTCTTCCACCTGTTCTATTTCTTTGTCCTTTAAGTTGTATAAGTATTTTGGTAATGTTTGATGTCCATTAGTATACTCTGTAGTTGACGTTCAGATATGTAGTTGACTTTCAGATATAGATTGGAATATCTGGACATAGCTAACTCTTTGATATGATATATCGTTTTTTATGATATGTCTATAGATGATTTTAATCAGTTTCCAAAGTATTGAATTATTACTAACCAGTTAGATGCTGGTTTAGAGATTTTTTTTAAGAGAATTAGTGGATACCGCGACTAGGAGGCGTGTAAATATATTATGTGTTCAAGAGACTAAATGGAAGGGTCAGCAGGCGAAGGAGGTGGACAATACATGTTTCAAGCTTTGGTACATAGGGACAGTCGCGAATAGAAATGGAGTAGGAGTTTTGATTGATAAGAGCCTCAAGAATGGTGTGGTGGGAGTGAGAAGGCAAGGAGATAGGATTGTCTTAGTCAAGCTTGTCGTTGGTGATATGGTCTTGAACGTAATTAGTGCGTATGCCCCCCAAGTAGGCCTCGACGAGTGTTAAGAGACAGTTCTGGAAGACTTAGATGGCCTGGTTAGAGCTATACCTAGTAGTGAGAAGCTTTTTATAGGAGGAGATCTTAATGGGCATGTAGGTACTACAAGCGCAGGTTTCGAGGCAGTTCATGGAGGTTTTGGGTATGGTAGTAGGAATCAGGAGGGGGAGGAAGTTTTGGACTTCGCGGTAGCTTTTGACCTGATGATAGCCAACACTTTCTTTAGAAAGAGAGAATCTCATCTAGTGACCTTCAGTAGCGGACAACACTTTAGCCAAATTGACTTTGTCCTCGCAAGAAGAAAGGACAAACGAGCATGCTTGGATTGCAAGGTGATACTAGGGGAGTGTGTTGTTTCTCAACATAAGCTTTTGGTGGCAGACTTTCGTTTTCAGGTGCGTGCCCGTAGGAATAAATAAGCTAAGATTGAAATAACAAAGTGGTGGAAACTGAAAGGGGAGACGTCAGAGGTATTCAGGGAAAGGGTTATCAAAGAGAACTCTTGGAGGGAAGAAGAGGACATAAACAACATGTGGGAGAAAATGACAACCAACATTCGGAAGGTGGCCTCAGAGGTGTGTGGAGTAACCAAAGGAAGTGGAGGCGAGGCTAAAGATACTTGGTGGTGGAACGAAGAAGTCCAAAGGGCTATTAAGGAGAAGAAAGAATGCTATAGACGCTTGTACCATGACAGGAGTGTGGACAACATAGAGAAGTACAATGTGGCAAAGAAGACTGCAAAGCGAGCTGTAAGTGTAGCAAAGGGTAGAGCGTACGAGGATCTTTACCAACATTTGAGTACGAAGGAAGGAGAGACGGACATTTATAAGATGGCTAGGGTTCGTGAGAGAAAGACAAGGGACTTCAACCAAGTTAAGTGCATTAAGGATGAAAGGGAGTATCTCTTGGTGAAGGAGGATGAGATCCAACATCGATGGCAAGAGTATTTTGACCAATTGTTCAATGGTGAGAATATGGACACAACCTTTCAGTTGGATGACTCTTTTGATGACACCAATAGGCGTTTTGTGCGGAGAATCCAAGAATCTGAGGTCAGAGAGGCGTTGAAAAGGATGAAAGGAGGTAAGGCGATGGGACCGGATGGTATCTCAATCGAGGTTTGGAGATGCCTCGGGGACATAGCTATAGTATGGCTAACCAAGCTGTTCAACCATATTTTTCGATCGAACAAGATGCCTGATGAGTGGAGGAGAAGTATATTGGTACCGATCTACAAGAATAAAGGGGATATTCAAAGTTGTACTAATTACCGGGGAATTAAGTTGATGAACCATACTATGAAGCTATGGGAGAGAGTTATCGAGCATCGCTTGAGAGCGATAACGCGGGTCTCTATGAACCAATTTGGTTTCATGCCCGGAAGGTCAACCATGGAAGCTATTTTCTTAATAAGACAAGTTATGGAGCGGTATAGGGAGAAGAAGAATGACCTACACATGGTTTTTATTGACTTGGAGAAGGCTTATGATAAAATACCAAGGAATGTTATGTGGTGGGCTTTGGACAAACATAAAGTCCCAACGAAGTACGTCGGGCTCATTAAGGACATGTACAACAATGTTGTGACTAGAGTTCGAACAAGTGATGGAGACACGGATGACTTCCCGATTAGGATAGGACTACATCAAAGGTCAGCTTTGAGCGCTTATTTGTTTGCCTTAGTGATGGATGAGGTCACAAGGGACATACAAGGGGACATCCCTTGGTGTATGCTTTTCGCGGACGATGTAGTGCTAGTTGATAAAAGCCGGACAGGAGTGAATCAGAAACTAGAGTTATGGCGGGAGACTTTGGAGTCCAAAGGTTTTAGACTCAGTAGAACTAAAACTGAGTATATAAGATGTGACTTCGGCACTACTACTCAGGAGAAAGAAGATATTAGTTTGGAAGGTCAAGTAGTGTCTAGGAAGGATACCTTTCGATATTTAGGTTGAATGCTACAGAGAGATGGGGATATTGATGAAGATGTTAGCCATAGAATCAAAGCAGGGTGGATGAAGTGGCGGCAAGCATCTGGTGTCCTATGTGACAAAAGGGTACCACAGAAGCTAAAAAGCAAGTTTTATAGGACGGTGATTAGACCTGCTATGTTGTATGGTGAAGAATGTTGGCCTACGAAAAGACGACATGTTCAACAGCTAAGTGTCGCGGAAATGCGTATGTTGCGTTGGATTTACGGCCACACAAGAAGGGATCGAGTTCGGAACGATGATATACATGATAGATTAGGGGTAGCACCAATTGAAGAAAAGCTTGTCCAACACCGGTTGAGATGGTTTGGACATGTGCAACGGAGACCTCCAGAGGCACCGGTGCGTAGTGGAATCCTAAACCAAGATAGTAACGTGAAGAGAGGCAAAGGAAGACCGAAGTTGACTTGGGTACAGGCAATAAAAGGAGACTTGAAAGGATGGAATATACCCAAAGACTTAGCCTTAGATAGGAGTGCTTGGAAGACAGCTATTCACGTGCCTGAACCTTGATTGCTTCTGTTGGGTTTCAACTCTAGCCTACCCCAACTTGTTTGGGACTTAAAGGCTTTGTTGTTGTTGTTGTTGTTGTTGCTTTACTGCATTGTCTAACAATATTGGAAGCATTATTTAAATTGTAACCACTGTGCCTTGGCTTTTTTTTTTGAAACATAATGGCAGGAGCTCTGCCTTTCAATTAAGAAGAATAGAATTGGCCTAGTTTATAAGGGAAACCAGGCCTTATTGGCTTCTTTGGATACTTTTTTCACATTTTTACAGGTCATTTTTTAACTCTCTATTCTACTGTTTCTTTTAAACAGCTAATCGCACTTGATATGGGTGCATTGATTGCTGGTGCAAAATATCGTGGAGAGTTTGAGGATAGACTCAAGGCTGTTCTCAAAGAAGTTACGGATTCTGATGGGCAGACCATTCTTTTCATTGATGAGATTCACACAGTTGTTGGAGCAGGTAACTATGCAGGATGCTCTGTTGTTTCCCTGACTATTAGATGTTTTCAGCCTTGCCATTAATTTATTTTAGTTCAAACTGTTTTATTTGGTAATACTTCATTTCTTGAAAAATTGCGTGCATGTGGAAGTTCCTTTGATGACCTTGTATGGGCCCCACTATTGGAAACCATCTCTGGTCTTAGTTAAACCTGGACTATAGCCATATAGTTTGCATAAGCCCATGTATATCTCACACTAACTGTTGAACTTGTGGTGATTCCACTTTGGCCTGGCATTTGAGCCTCTTATAACACTTCAGGGTGAGAGACTACATATTTTGCTTTTTTAGTTTTGTTATTCAAGATTAGATTCAAACATGGTTCTCTATATTTTACTTATAGGTTGCACTGGGTGGATAAAAGAAGCATATTCAATGCAAAGTCGTGTCACTCACTTAATGTTTCCCCCTGTTTTGTCTGCTGTTTTATGATGAAAATAAAATTGATGCTTGAGGCCAAACCTTGTAGAAGCCCGATGAATTCATGGCAGATCTTAATATGAAATTGCCTGTCAAAGTTTGGTGTGAATTTTACTACCATTGTCATGAACAATAGAAGACCTGTCTCTGCTGTTAGGAAATTTATGAATGTATGAATGTTCATCTTATTCCAGGTGCCACTAATGGTGCAATGGATGCTGGTAATCTTCTCAAACCAATGCTTGGGAGAGGAGAGCTACGGTGTATTGGTGCAACAACCCTTGATGAATACCGCAAATATATTGAGAAAGATCCAGCACTAGAGCGGCGCTTCCAACAAGTTTATGTTGATCAGCCTTCAGTTGAAGATACAATTTCAATACTCCGAGGACTAAGAGAGAGATATGAATTGCACCATGGTGTACGAATATCTGACAGTGCCCTTGTGGCTGCAGCTGTTCTTTCAGACCGTTATATCAGTGGACGATTCTTGCCTGACAAAGGTGGTTTATTTGACTCATTACCATTCTTATTCTTAATTGAAGCTACTAACCTGCTAGATGATGAGGAGATATTATTACAGCCACTACTGTAAGATCTTATATGGTCTTTCTAATGAGAGGTTATGCTTTGTTGCAGCAATTGATCTGGTTGATGAATCAGCTGCCAAGTTAAAAATGGAGATAACGTCAAAACCTACTGCTCTGGATGAGATTGATCGTGCTGTCCTGAAGCTTGAAATGGAGCGTCTCTCACTTACAAATGATACAGA